TTACATTTAAAATATCTGTTAAACTGTTGATCTGAGTCGTACAACATTATAGTAGTTTATATCGTTGCACTTCATGATAAAGAATGATGCAAAAATAGAATTGTGTAGTAATTTTTACATTTAAGTAATTTTTTTTAAATTCATGTTTTAGAGACGATGATTTGGAAATGCACTTTTTCCTATTTTTGTTCTTCTGTAAATCGTGATGATCGGAGGATAGTTTAATTGTATCCATGTCAATGGTTATAGTTAATTCTCAGATTTTCTTTTAGGCAGTACTTAAATATGGCTAGTCTTTGTTTTTTTATCTTTGGTCTATATTTTTATATTGCTTAGCTGATCTGTCCATGTTGTCATTTACAGAGATTTTCAAAGCGTACAGAACGACCATTTTTCTTAACCGTTACACGTTACAAATGACCCACTTATATTATGTAAGTGATGGACAAATGTCCTACCAGGAACACAAAACAATAACGTTATTGTAAGTAGATAAATTCCAATTAAATAAGATAGCCAGATTGACCGTTTGTGACATCACCGAATAGGACATACCACCAAATGTTTACTTGGCACTACACTAGCTGAAAGTTATTAAACTTCCGAAACCTGGTTTCACAACCGGTTTTCTAGTGAGGTTTGTGATGCTTAATCTAATGTTTTGCAAAGAGCTTTGCGGACAAATTTGTTTTTTCTTCGTTCATCATTATGACCATATCGTACTGTCTGTTTGTAGATTCGAATGGCGTGTGATGCAAGTATAGCAGTAGACGCTCACCCTGTTGAATCAAATAGTCTCGAACGTTTTAGATTTTATGCGATTACCATAATTTCGTTGTTGTTTTTTCTTGATTTGTACGTACTTAAGATTTAAGAGATTTTAATATCGGGAAGCTACTGCTGCTTCAAACTATTCTTCGACGTATGATTTATGATTGCAAATTTTCTGTTGTTTCACTTATTCGCCACTTTTTCGTGCGATGAAAAAATGTCAATGATGTATACTTTTCTCAGTTGAGGTTCAAGACCTTTTGGAGAGAACAAATAAATACTGCAATATGCCTAATGTTAAAGACTTATTACATTAGACTTCAGAGACCAAAAAAAGGTTTTATTGGATATTTTTCTGTGCAAACGATTTCCGTTTGAAGCTCTGCAGTATTCTTTGTTATCCTTAGGGTGTAATATTTGGAATATGTGAAATTGTTAATGAAGCAATATTTATACAAAATATATGAAAATAAGATTAGCGTTCATTTGAAAATGATAAAAAGAATGTGCTGATGAGAGTAACTGACATTTTGACAATATGCTCGTGAATGACGTTATTATTTAATACTTTCACTTGTAGACTGATACCTTTATTGTTATTGTAATAATGTCTGACAAGGTAGCAGTCTCATTATGATCATAAAATCATTCATCAAAGGATATAATAATAATGTGTTTAAAGCTTGTAATTTTTATTTTATTTTTAATATTATTATTTTGTCTTCTTTGTGATTCCTGTTAATTTACGTGCCCTCTATGAACTTAATAGTTTGGAATAAAAGATATTTGTATTTTGTATTTTTATAGAATAAACATTTCTTTTTAATTCACTTTTTTGTGTAAACCAAGTTTATCAAATAACTGTTACGGCAAATTTTAAAAGTTATGTCATCATATTATAGTGAGAGAAATAGATTTATAGAAAATGTAGCTATATAACGTTTAGTGATCTATACTGAACGAAGTCCGTATGAAACTTTATTAAGGATGTACACCACTGAGGAGCCAAACATTTCTAGAATAAAACTTTTTTTCTTAACCTGATTTTTTGGTTTACATGACTGTAAGAAAGTAAATGATGAAGAAAAAATTATATTGTGGTGCACTTTTTTTTTTTTTTTGCTACGGCCATGTGAAAGTACCCCATTTTTAATGATTTTCCCATTTTTCATCAATTTGTACCCATTTTGGGGCTATTACCATGAAAAAAAATCACAGTTTCACAATTAAACTTTTTTTCATACTTTCACTCATGATGAAGTGAACTAATCTGAATAAATTTAACTTAAAAAACTATAGGTTGGTGTTGATATTAGAAAGTTTTATAAAATTTTGTTGCTTTTTCGTGTCAAATTGACCATGCTGTCAGTTTTGTAAATTTTTCTCTTTTATTTAGAACAAAAAGCATATTATTTCAACTTCTTTGTTATAATTGATTGAAAAAATACATATCTAAGAATTTTGAAAAGAAAAAATTGAAATGGGTTGCACATATTTTTGGTAAAATCATTTCTTCGTACCACTCACCCATTTTCTCAACATTTTGGCTGATGACACTGATCGGATTAGTTATAAAATTTAAAAATTTTATTACTTAAAAACTTCTTATTGTAAGTACACAATTTTTTCAAAGAGTTTGATTTGATTATAAATAAAGACAACAGTAGTATACCACTGTTCAAACGTCATAAATCGATTGAGAGAAAACAAATCCGGGTTACAAACTAAAACCGAGGGAAACACATCAACTATAACATGTATAAGAGGAAAACAAATATAATATTTTTCGAATTCATTGATATTTTCGACTTGTATCACATGTTTTGGAAATAATTCCCGAACGAGACTTCAACGAGATTGAAACATCAGGAGAATACATCCTTAAATAATGCCAGTTTATATTCAATGGAACACATCCAAGTCAGGAATCTGACAGTTGTTTTCCATTCGTTTGGTGTGTTTGAGCTTTTGATATTGCCATTTGATAATGAACTTGCCGTTTTGAATTTTCTTTCGAGTTCACTATTTTTGTTATTTTACATTTTGCTTTTGACTGACCGTTTCGTTTGATGGTATAATTGAATAACTATTTGTCGTGTTACAGAAAATAAGGAGATATGGTATGATTGCCAATGAGACCATATGACGTAGATGATAGCAACTATAGGTCACCGAATGCCTTTTTTCATTAAAAACAAACGTGTTCTCTATCGCGATATTTCTTTTATTTTGGTATCGTGTCGGTAGGGTTTATTTGAAACAAAATTTGTTAGTTCAAATGTTTCTTAAATGGTCGCTGGTTTCGATCCTTAATGCTGCTTTTCGACATTTTCACCATAAGCCGAAACTGAAATCGAAGCCAAAATCAAGGATAGTTTAGTGGGTTGAAATTCCGCTCTTTAAATGTCAGTGTCAATCAGTGTTTTATTAAAATTGTTCTCAATTTGAAAGTATCACAACGATGGTTACTTGATTCATCAATTCAAACGAATATTTTCTTCGAGTACCATTGATGAGAAATACGCAACAAATGCACAGATAGTGCATCAAATTAGATTAGATATCATGCAAGGTTATCTCTTGTAAATTTATTATTTATTATTTTACTGATTTTTATTCAACGGTCTGATGACTTATATAAATTTATTTTCTTCTTGTCTTTTTTGTTCCTCATGGCGAAATTTGAAAACAACGATTGCAGTTTAATTTAATGATTCATTTAAGAATGGATTCCATGGAGTGTGATTAACAGTGTAGGAACCAGGAAAAACACAAATGGATGAACGTAAGGTTTCCCTGTTCAATGTTCATAATAGCATCTTTGTATTTTTTTGATTGATAGTTCCACTTTATACGTCACAAGGAAAGTAATTAAATATCTTACATTCAACATAGTCAACTTAAATATTAGATATATTGATTGTTACATGAAAACAAGACAAAATGATCTTCATTATCAGAGTTTTATTTATTTACCATTATGTCTTACAATTTTGTCTTGATTTGTCGTAAAATTGTCTACATAAATACACATGGAACTAATAGGGAAACCCCCTAAGATAATTAATAATAAAAATATCAAATTCAATGCAGGGGAATCTGTCTATTGCGTAATATATTTATCATATCTATCTATATAAAGGTGTTTGTATGTCAACTTCATTGCATACATACATGTCCCTATCAATAAAACGTGTTCTCGCTGTTAGTATATCGGGGTTTTGAAACTTATGTACAAAAAGTCTAAAAAGGCTCCTTACGAAGATTATTATGTTATCTTTTAATATTATTTCAGAATAAAGTAAATTTGACAGGCTAAAATGTAACATGAAAACCAATATCAGATTATTTTTTTATTTTCATAAAGTAGAACACTAATGTAAATAATAATAATGGTTGTATGTGAATGTTTTATGTATGATTGAAATTAGACTTTAGGATATTTTTGATAAATGCAAGGTGCATTTATTGTCTTTTTAAAAATAATTATACATGGTCTAATTATGTCTTACTACGTGATTTCAAATATTTAATTATGCATACTTACGCATTTTAGTTATATGTCATTTTATTTTGATTAGCAGAGAATAAAGACATCAATACTTGTTCCTATATTGATTTATATCTTCTCCATTTAATAATGTAATTATTTGTAAAAATAAATATACAAAAAAGACATTATGTATCTTTAGATAATATCCCAGAGGTATCAAAGGAGACGCGAAAAATACCGAAGGGACATTCAAACTCACAAGTCGAAAAAAAACCGACAACGCCATGGCATAAAGATATATTTGAATATACGAAAATGTGAGGTATAGTCAATAAGGTACAAGGGTTTCTTATTGGCTTGTAACAAAATTCTGAAAGAAATTTGTATACGATATTTTTTTTATTTTATATGCCTATATAGCATGTATATGTTATACTTCAGTCTGTACTTGCAGTGTATTTAATGTTAAGTTCTAATGCTATTACATTCTATTATCTCATAAAATTGAATGCTTGATAATTTGAATATGTCAACATGCTGTACTTATATACTTATATGGTATATGTTGTACTGCACCGGATGCACATTTTGACAATTAAAGTATCTTCAATGATACTGGAGAGCAAAACATTTCAAGATCCAAAACCTAGCGCAAACGTTGAAGAGCTGTCCGACAAAAAATGACTTATAGTATAGACAAATCCAGATTTTATATCAATTTTATATTATAGATAGTATGATTCAACTGTTGCTATTGTTCAGTTCTCTTGTTCCAACACTACAGCATGGGTATTTACTCTGGCCTCCGAACAGAAGCTCTCTATGGAGATATGGTTATAATACTACCAAAAATTATAATGACAACGCCTTATACTGTGGTGGAAGAATGGTATGTAAATCTATCAAAATGGATTTATCTGTGTTATATTAAATTACCCTTTTTACAAAAAAGAACATTTCCGAAATCCAATTTGTTTGAGTTAAATTTAAAATTAATACTATTATTTTGTTGGTCAAGGATAGTAAGTAATTACGAATTATACAATAGAGTCCAATTGTGAGAAGCAGATTTCCTGTATAATTTAGTGTATTTTAAAGTAAGTGTTTGTTAAATGAATTACTTGACTATCTATTCAATGTGTTTTTACTTCAAACATATTTTTTCAGAAAACCGTGTTTTGAAGCCTCTATTTAGTCTTAAATTATTTTTTGAAAAAAGATTATTTGAATTCCCAAGTAATTACACTGATACGCAGCAGTGAAGATTGATAATGAGATGAAAATGCTTTGCTTCAATTATAATATGCCCTGTAATGTTATGTTACGAAGTAATTAGAGACTCGTAGGCCAGTATAAAATTGGAGACATGATATGATTGCTAAAGGGACAACTGTCCGTCAGATACCAAGGGACATGGATGCAAACAACTATAGATCACCGTTCAGCTTTCAACAGTGCCCAATACTGTAAACCAACTTATTTTCGCGGATACTTTATTTCGTGTTTATCCCTTTCTAGCCTACTTCGCGGCGATTTAATTTTGCTATTTTCAAATTTACTTGATGTAGTTAAATTAGGAGATATCCAAGTTTTATTTATTCGCGACGATTTATATTTGCGTTATTTTTCTACTCGCGACATTCGCGAAAATTAGTTTGCTTACAGTACATATTCAGTATAGTAAGCCATAAAAGGACCCGTTTGACACAATTTGAACAATAATCACTATCGTCGTTTTTTTAGACATTTGTTTGTATGGGAATGTACAAAATAAGATAAAATTGCTAACTGTTTTCTGTATAACTTGCACTAAATGTTTTTACAGTTGCTTGAAGAATCAAATGGTAAATGTGGTGTTTGTGGTGACCCCTACATAGGTCCAAGGAAACACGAAGCAGGTGGTCTTTATGCGTCCGGTATTATAGCAGCAAAATATCCTTTGGACACAAAGACAATAACAGTTACTGTATTGTTGACAGTAAATCATCAAGGATACTTTGAGTTTCGGCTATGTCCACACAATGAACCAACTGTTCCGGTCACTCAAAGATGTTTAGACAAGTTTCTTCTTCCAATACAGGAAGGATCAATTAAACACCGAAAAATGCGGTTTTATCCCAAAGAGGAGTTGGGTCATGCGTACAACCTCTCACTTGACATTCCACGTGGAATGATATGTACTCAGTGCGTTTTGCAATGGCGATATCACACGGGTATGTTATATTATTTCCAATAATCTTCGACAACTTTTTATAACGTAATTATCTGTCATTTTTTGAGGTCAGCCGTTCCTGAGTTGTAGATAGAACGTTTAATAAGATGCTACTAGATAGTTTGTCCTTGTTGATTTGAAGCTTTTGTATAATACACAATAGGGATAAGACACAAGTCTACAAATTTGTATACTGTAAATACATGTATTACTAAACACAAACTATACATCTGTCGTTAACAATTAACTCACACATTAACACTTAATAATTTATATTAAATTCTCACTAATCTCATAAGATTAGTACCTAGACTGTTGCTTTTCTTGCACAATTGATTAGATTCCTCTGTTTTTTTCGTTTAAAAAAAAATGATCCAATGACAAATTTATGGCCGAAAAAAACCAGCTTAAATCTATAGATATGTTTCAGTATATCTGTTTTGTGTCATTAGGTTTTGTCTCATTAAAGAGTTTCCCATATTTCCTTTTATCCAAAAGAATTGATTAGAATTCAGCATTTAATGAAGTTTTTAGAATTGTTATATATTGTTACTTTTCGGTAAACTATGAGGGCCTGGTCTTATTATAAATTTGAATCATTGTTTAAATATGTACACTTATAGGTATTGTGTGTAACATTACAACGAATGACATGATAATCAATATAGTTACGATATAACTACAGTAATAAAAGCATTAACGCCACCACTTTTACTACACCAGATGTGCATTTCGACATTAAATATTTCTACTGTGATTCTTTAAGCCAAACAATTTTAAAATCCATAACTTAAAAAAACATCAAAGAGATGGAAAAGGAAATAGAGCTCTGCATGAGCATAATGAGGAAGATACATTATTCCCTAGTTTAAAATGATTACCATAATGACATTTTATCATTGTTGCAATAAAACTTACTGTGCAGCTTATGTTATCAATATCCTTTTCAATATCCAAATGTTATTTACTTGTATATCAGCCAGTTCTACGGTACTGTCATGAATATCATCGTGCAATTCTACAAAATTTGAAGAAGATTTTGAATTTATTGATATTTTAGAATCTAGCATCACTGCATATGGTGCAGTAAATTGATACCGTTAATGTTTACTCCTCATTATTATGTTGTTTTACTTGAAATGAACAAACTCACGGATGTCTGAAGCGGAGAAAGAAGTGTTCATCATTAAATGGCACCAAATATCACCCTGATGTTTGGCTGTGTTCATGGTGTTCAATTATTTGTGCTCTGTTAAGTGTTTTCTGAACTTTTGTTTTTCTTCTCGTTTTTCCCCTTTAAGCCTGGTGTCATTAGTCTGGGGTTTTTTGATGCAACCTTGGTGTCCTGTCCCTCCATTTACCATATACATTTAATTTTCTTACAGTTCTATAATTTGTTAAGTCGTTTTGAATTTTTGAATTTCTGTTTTCATTTGATATGTAATTTTTGTGTGTTTTATCAGAAAATAGTTGGGGTTTCGATCCGAATGGCACTAGCTGTATAGGATGTGGACTGCAAGAAGAGTTTTACAACTGTGCTGATATAAGCATAGGTGAGGATGAACATGTTAGTAAGAACAAATATGATAATCCATATTCGATAGAACGAACGCTAGAACAGAATGGTATGGACATAACAAACCGTACGCTTAAACAGAATACAACGGAATTGACAGTAGAAGAAAATACAGTTGCGTACGTGGAGAGAAACCAATCTTCACGCAATCACCTGAGCAATTATACTAATCAATTAGCTGAGCCAGCAAGAAATTTGATGAAAAGGATAAAAGACTTACTTCTTTCTTTTGGAAATGACGTGCACAGCCGATCATTAGTCTTAAAATCATTAGGACAAATTGCGTTGTCTGAAAATACAGTCAAATCTTCAGGTAATCCTGAAAATACAATCATATCTGCAAGTAACCCGGAAAATACAGTTGTATCTTTAAGTAACCTTGAAAATACAGTCATATCTGCAAGTAACCCGGAAAATACAGTTGTATCTTCAAGAAACCTTGAAAATACAGTCATATCTGAAAATAACCCGGAAAATACAGAATTATCTTCAAGTAACCATGAAAATACAGTCATATCTGCAAGTAACCCGGAAAATACAGTCATATCTTCAAGTTACCTTGAAAATACATTCATATCTGCAAGTAACCCGGAAAATACAGTTGTATCTTCAAGTAACCTTGAAAATACAGTCATATCTGCAAGTAACCCTGAAAATACAGTCATATCTGCAAGTAACCCTGAAAATACAGTCATATCTTCAAGTAATCATGAGCTGTCTGCAAATACAGTCATATCCTCAAGGCACCATCTACCTGTTTCAAAACTAAATGTTAGTATTAATTCTTATGGAAACATATCAAATATAAGTATTTTAACAAAACAAAAAAATCAGTCAAGATTATCAGATAGAAACATATTGTCATCGTCAGTTCAGACGCATGATGATACTTTAAAAAGAGTCACATTGACTCCTCAGTCAAAATTAAATGCAGAAATTAGGACAAATAAACACAGCCCCCATAAGCATACAGTCAGTAGTAATGGACAAACTGCTACCTTGCGGGGAAGAGCGCATGATCATGTTGGTTCAAACAGACATTCTACAACAACTTTGCCATTTAGTCCTACGGAATCATCAATACTGTCAACGTTAGAAATATCACATTCCAGTGAACGTCCAACATATACAGTCACATCGCCAACCACGCCTTCAAAGGCCAGTCCGATGGTTTCAAAAGTCAAGCCGATGATTTCATTGTTATCCGCATTGCGTTCAGCGCCACATCAAAGAATGTCATTACCTTTAGTATCTCAACTTACACAAACTTTGTCATCAGCACCAGTTCCAATGCCACAACTTAATAGTCCCTCACATTTGACTGTTCCTTCATTGAAAAGTGATAGAGATCAAATGATTAGTTCCTCAGCTATAACAAATACCCAACACAGGGCTTCAAGTTCAACATTAGTAGAGGAAATAACCCCCAGACTGCAATCACACAATATTCAAACATCTGTACCTATTGCAAATAATTTCATACGAAGTCGAACGTTTGTTCTAAAAAAAGGTACAGGTAATAAAAACAATGGTCTAATGTCACCTGTGCGACGGAAATATATTATTGTGCGAAGAGTATCGAAAGGCGGAAGACTTCCGAAAGAAATTCACGAATTATTAAATTCTTCGGGATATATGATAAGAAGAAGAAAAGTAAGAGTTCCGAAAAATGTGATTAGAAACTTACAATCACAGGATTTGATGAAACAGTTACAGAAACAGTTACCGGACTTAAAAAAAATCCACGAATTTGTACAGAAATAAATGTAAAATGCAGCATTTATTTGTTATCATCTAGCAACATATAACGGTCACGCTATAACTACTATTTTGTAGCAGTTGCAAAGTGTGTATACCTGATCTCAAAAATTTTGATATTCAATTACCAGAAACAATTTACTAGTACATTGTAGTAGTAAAAAGACCACTTTAATTGTCGAGCAAGTCTTAATGATAATCTGTTTTCGTGATACTCCACCTATCTAAAAAAAATCGATATTCATGACGTGTCCTATCAGGTGAGTCTACATCGCAACTGAACATTATCACCGTCTCCAGGCACATAGACGGGCTAAACGAAACAAATTGTACGACACACGTGATGAGTTCTCAGTGGCTAAGCTGATGAACGAGAACAATGGAAATTTACCTCTCTTACGATAGAGTCGAGAAAATCAATAGTAAAACAATGCCGGTGACGATACTGATCAAAATTTATTTCTACAAAACAATCGTACATTTTAAAGAAATTATTTGTTAAACTGTGTTATTATAAATAGATATGCAAAGACACTATGTTCTATGTTCATTATTTACAGAGATAATTGCATTAGAAGATTGTGAAACTGAAATTTAAACAAGAGGCTCTCAAGAGCCTGAATCGCTCACCTGTATATCAGAGGAGACGATTTTTAAATGTTAGCAAACTTGATGAACAAATTGTGTAAAATTGTCTTTAAAGGGCAATAACTCCTTAAGGGGTCAATTGACAATTTTGGTCATATTAAATTTTTTGTAGATCTTACTATGCTGAACATTATTGCTGCTTACAGTTTTTATATATCTATAATAATATTCAAAATAATAACAAAAAACTGCAAAATTTTGTTAAAACTACCAATTCGGTGGCAGCAACCCATCAATGGGTTGTTCGATTCGTCTGAAAATTTCAGGGCCAATAGATCTTGACCAGTTAAACAATTTTACTCCGTCACATTTGCTCTAAAAGATTTAGTTTTTGAGATATAAGCCAAAAACTGCATTTGACCCTTATGTTCTATTTTTAGCCATGGCGGCCATGTTTGTCGATGGATACAAACTTCGGATACAATTTATAAACAAGTTACCCTAAGGAACATTTAGTTAAAGTTTGAAGGTAATTGGCTCAGTAGTTTCAGAGGAGAAGATTTTTAAATGTAAGCAAACTTGATAAACAAATTGTGTAAAATTGTCTTTAAAGGGCAATAACTCCTTAAGGGGTCAATTGACAATTATGGTCATATTAACTTTTTTGTAGATCTTACTTTGCTGAACATTATTGCTGTTTACAGTTTATATATATCTATAATAATATTCAAAATAATAACAAAAACCTGCAAAATTTTGTTAAAACTACCAATTCGGTGGCAACAACCCAACAATGGGTTGTTCGATTCGTCTGAAAATTTCAGAGCTGATAGATCTTGACCAACTGAATAATTTTACCCAATGTTAGATTTGCTCTAAAAGCTTTAGTTTTTGAGATATAAGCCAAAACCTGCATTTGACACCTATGTTCTATTTTTAGCCATGGCGGCCATGTTTGTCGATGGACCAAAACTTCGGATACAATTTATAAACTAGATACCCTAAGGAACATTTAGTTAAAGTTTGAAGGCCCAGTAGTTTCAGAGGAGAAGATTTTTTAAATAGTTTACGACGACAGACGACGACAGACGACAACAGACGACGACGGCAGACGACGACGACAGACGACGGACGACGACGGACGCCAAGTGATGGCATAAGCTCACATGGGGCCGGTGAGCTAAAAATGTTAAGCATGTTAGTCTTTGCTGCATATTGATTAAAAAAAATAGAAAAAAATTATGTACATACAAAATCTAAAAATATTTCAGGTCAAAAATTTTCGGAGTGTTCCACATAGTCCTTAACATGTTACAATTTCCCAAAATTGTCCTATTTTTCACATTTTAAGTTTTCAAGTACCCCGGTCTGCTCTTTTGTCACGTGAACTTTCAATACAGAAATATTGTCTTTTCGTGAATATAACAATTTAAAAGTCATGTTTGTGCAGGTAACAAAATTAAAGATAACTATTTTTAATAAGTAGGTTATCGGCTAAAAGATTTTATTTTATTTTTTACAATTTTATGAAAAGGTCGTCTCGATTTCTGTACATGTATTTGCGGTCTTTTCGAGTTATTCACATTCAATGTTTACATCGGGATGAGGTCCGTTTGGATTTGCTTAGTAACTTAATGCCAAAACTATTAATCTTTCCTACATATCAATCGATTCCATTGGAATTTTTTCCCCTGAACTTCTCTGATCAGCTGCATACATGCACGGATAATTGACGTGTTCCAGAGAGGTATACAGCCAGTAAAAAAGTATATTGTAGTTGGTACTCCAGGAATGTATTCGCATAGCAACATTTTAAACCAATTTTTCACAAAGCTCTTATAGCCCGCTGTAATCGTCGTTTGCTACTTTAGGAGGGAAATGATAACATTATATGAACATCGCGGGTCCGTGACAGAATTAAAGAACCTATACCTTATTTTTAGCCTGGATTGTCATCTGATAAAGTTATGCTGATTGTAAGGTACACAGTTTTCTCTGCTTTCAAACTCTTTCTGTTTGAACACGTCCTGGTTTTCTTACTACAATAAACTTACTATAAACTTAATTTGATTTTTTAACTAATTAACCAAAATTAAAAGTGATATTTGGATGGAAGAAAACAGACTTGTTAAATAGTGTACTATAGTGTAACATAGATATAAAACAACTACTGGAAAAATTCCAGGTTCTCCTGATAGAGGAGGGATTTACAGAGGGCAACAGGTAGCTTCGACCGAAAACTACATGTGACATTTACTATTGGTATCGGTATCGGATTCGACCCAGAACTTGTTAGTTATTGGTAATATAAATTATGTGGAAAACAAAAGGGCCTAGAATGGTGTAATTTTAAACAACACCATTGTCCTATTTTTGTTATAAATAAAGTTGAATTCTTTGATTCGTCGTTTTTACTTCATGCCGGCTAACAAATTGGACTTCGTTATTTTAGTAGTATAGATATCAATCTAATTTTATTGTTACTATTTACCAGAACGTTTTCTTTTGAATTTATAATTAATAGCGTCCTTGCTAAAATGAGACAAACATTGAAAAGATCAAGATTTCCGTGTTTACAGGGAGGTAATATTTTGTCACTAGATTCCCCACTGTTCTGTAACCACGTGTTCAAGTTTCATTGTGGTTGTTGAAACACCATATGTAAACATAAGAGAGGCGGAGTATACCAAAGGGGAATTAAAACTCACAAGTCGAAGACAAACCGACAACGCCATGGCAAAAAAACTCATTCATTCCACTACTATAAGTGTTTTATCCAACGCATGGACTTCCTTCGGGTAGATATTGGATTAAACCGACTAGCAAACGTTACATTTGAATAGAATATATGTGATATACATTAATGAGACAGCAATTGAGCGACACAGACACTATAAAAGTCATTCAACAGTTAACACACAGTCTTTAAATGACCGGAGTATGTACAGTTTGCCAAGCTCTAAATCGCTCCTCGTCTAAAAAAAAAGTTGATGATAAATAAGAGAAAGACTATCCAGGAACTTCCTGACAAAATGTGAATGAAATATTCGGGTTTTATTTCATTGATATAACGGTCTCTGTGATGATTCAATCGACAGTTATCAGTTGAGTGTACATGAAGAGTCTACGTTAAATTTAAAAAAGATACATTTTCACCAAAAGTAATTCCCAAATTGCATGTGGACCTTCGTCAATTTGACTTAATTCAAGATTTGACTACCAAAACAAACAAAGGGTATTCATCCCGAAAAAGAATATACTGGCGCTCAAAAAGAAGAGCGATTATAAAACTCGTGACTTTCGTTTGTATGCGATAACCTTCAGTCTTTAATGATGTTTTGTGCATACATGTATAATCTGAAAGTGAAATGTTATATGTTAAATGTGCTTTAGAATTTCTCAAAACGATAGTTCTTTCGGAAGATTACATGTTGATTATAAGTAAGCTTGTCGATTAATTTACAAATAACATTTTTTGAAATTCGATTATTGTATAATTACATGATATATATATAAATTATGTTAGTTATGACAAATATGGCTTATATTAGCACATGCAACAATTATTTTCCTCCACATAATATAAGTAAAACAACATACAGGAAGGGTTGCAAAGATCGTCTACCAAAGAACTATATATCATACAACATCGGAGAGAATGCCATCGCTGGAACTGATAACTCGGTGTGTCATAGGCACAGTTATCACAAGATTAGATAGGCATTTTATATTTTGTGGAGGAAATTAACTGTTGCATGTGCTTATTTAATATATATAATCAATATTTGTCTTAACTAACATATATATATATATCATGTAATCATACAATGATCGAATTTAAAAAAATAAAACAAACAAACTTGGATGTGTACTGATTGATATTTTAGTCTTAGGTTGTGACCAGTATCATTTGTCATCATTATTCTTCTGATTTCTTCTGTTCAACGGTAGATAATCCAATTTGAACCATGTACAAAGTCAAATATTTAATTGATGTAAAATACAAAAACTGTATTGTCACCAAACACAGAACAGAACGAGCATTTATTATTATTATAATATATATATACATGTATATTCAAGACCAGAAGTAAAAACATAATAAAAAAAACTGTTTTTTTCTTCTATTTTGAATGAGAAGTTACATGCAGTTATCTATATAATATCAAAAAGGTCAATTTAATAATTTAAGTTATTAATGAAAAAAAAAACATGAATACAATAAATGATATAAATGGATACAAATTTAGATAATGAACATACATCTTACTAATGCCTTAAATAAACCTCTTTTTGGCATGATCATTAACTACGAAATATGAGATAGAATGTCTCAAGGTCTGAAAGATTAAAAGAATGGGTGAAACATCCGAAATTTTCTTGCAAAAATTTATTTCGAAACTCTTCGGGTTTTGTACATTTTTAACCGAAGTGTAATGCATCTTCAACTTCAGATTTACACAGAGGGCATACTCGGTTTTCTAAATCTATTTTGTATGCCTGCTCTTTTCAATCATAAACTAAGTTACTATTACTTGAATGTTCTAATGACAAATGCATTATTATACATGTTAATGTAAGTCTGCTACATGCGTAAAGTATACATTATGTATAAGTTAAGTCGCTTGCGTGCTTTTTTTTTATCTATTGGTGTACTACATATGTAGTATTATTTGATTGGTTAAGTTGTTATTCAGATCTTTTTCTTATTCATATGAAGTTGCAATCTATGTACAGCGCTCGTTTCCGTTACGTATACTCAGTACACTACACTACAATTCAGTGTAGTGATACGAAGTAAGTACGGAGATTGATGAAGTTTCAACAGTATGTATAAAACGAAGTTGACATAAGGCTTATAGAAGGAAGGGTCTTTATAAATTCATGGCATAACAATAAATAAAAGTGATTATTATTGCAAAGATTCTCAAAAGGAGACACACCACTAATTCTTGGTCCCATTGCTTCCTATGTTATTTTTTTCAAATTCAAGCATTCATAGCTCTTTTGTCTTTGTTATAAAAAAAGGGACAGCAATTTCATGACAAAGCACTACTTTAGGTGGCACTGTGCTGAAAAATAAACTTACCTTTAATTGCATACATAAGAGCGTATTAGTTCCCGGAATATAGGAAGTAGTGATTGATTTTATAATTTTTTTTTTTGAGTTAACTATTTGAAGCATCCTTCCAGTCAACTATTAGGTAGTTTTGAAAAATAATTCTGTGTTGTCATTATGTTTGTGTATGGGTATGTGTCGTTTGAATGTAATATATTGTACCTTGTTTTATGGAAAGGGCTTACATAGGCTACTGTTTAAACTCAATTGATTGATTGATTTTTTTGGTGTTTTAACAACACTTTCATCGCTTTTGGCTATTTCGTGGCTACCGGTTTTTACTGGCAAAGGAAGTTGCGGTGCCTGGATAGAAGCGCCGAACTCCAGCAGGAAAACTTAGGAAATACCGAAACATGTACTTCAAATCTGAGAAACAGGAAAAATATACCCTCATTTTAAAATTCCATGCAATTGTTTTATCATTCAAAGTTATCAGTCAAAACATGTTCTACAATGTTCACCAGTCTTTCAGTTTTTATTTGATACCAAAATTACCCAATGACATATTATATTCTACATATTTTAAAAGTTACACCTATGCGTAAACACTATTTTGTTTAAATATGTACTACTATCTGATATGTTTTTCTAACCAGGCCCGAATTATTAGAGAGACATCTAAACATGAAGGAGGCCTCTGTGGCCGAGTGGTCTAAGTAGTCGAACTATACTGTATCACTACCCTGTCAACACTAAGATTGTGAGTTCGAATCCGATGTGTGGCAGGTGCGTTCGACTCCAATCTTAATTGACTAGGATTGTCAGTTTTCCTTAATTCCGAAGGTCGATAGTTCTCTCCGGGCACTCCGGCTTCCTCCACCAATAAAACTGAACGCCACGAAAAGGTGCTGAAAGTTGCGTTAAGCACCAATTAATCAATCAATCAATCTTAACCAAAACATTCTAATGTTCATTTCTATACGAAACGGGAACTCTTGTTCTTTCAGGCTGAATAAACGTACGAATAAAAGGAGTTGTACGAAAGCTAATTACCGCCACACAATTTTTCTTTATATGTCTTTCTATGCTTGCGTTATAACACAAACCTTTCCGAAATAACGCCAATTTTTGCGTTGTAACGCAAACATTTGCGAAATAACGCAAACCTTTGCGTTATAACGCTAACATTTGCCTTATAACGCAATTTTTGGCGAAATAACGCAAGCCTCTGCGAAATAAAGCAAACTTATGCGTTATAACGCAAACATTTGTTTTGTCTTATTTCTTATTTAAGTTTCAAGAAAAGCAGCTGTTATAAATGGAGGAGGCTAGATGTATTAAAATTTATCAATATATACTTTGTACTTATAAGTAAAATGCCTCTCATGGCAAACTAATGAGCAGGAGAATACATTTATATATATTACAAAGAAAATTGAGTAAACTGAAGTTAAACTGTACAGAAAAAAATAATATTTTAACCCTGTAAATGTAGCCGAATTTAGAATGCGCTCGTTTGAGCATTGTGTAAGATTTGTTAGATCCAAGCAAGCTACCCTATTGAAATAAATGCGTGAGCCAAGGCTCCGTGTTGAAGACCGTACTTTGACCTATAATGGTTTACTTTTATAAATTTTGACTTGGATGGAGAGTTGTCTCATTGGCACTCATACCACATCTTCTTATATCTATATAAGATTAAGATTTTTTTATTATTATAATTATGTACTCTACATTCAAATTGTTACCCAAGAATCTTAAATAGATACCTCCCTAGATTGAAATTTAAAACCTCATGATTTTTTATCAAAGAATCTTTATCACATTCTGAGATTTCAACAAACGATTTCTTACATCAAAATTCTTTTTTTTTTATTCAAAATAATTCATTTTAAAGTCGAAATTTGACTTAATATTTTCACAATTGTACAATATTTGTTTTTGCTCTTCTCTACTTTACCACTTCCCGTAAATCAAAATTTTCAAAATCTTGGCCTTTCAATTCAAATTTTCCTTTACCATATATCTATTTTCAAGTTGAATTTATATAATTTTCTGATTCAAAAATCTTTCTTATTTAGTGTATATTTGCGATAAAAGTATTCCCTTGTTCCTATGTATATTTATTATAATGATTTGACCTTGTGTTCATAGTCCTTCTCTTAACTAAATCACAACCACATTTTATTGGCAGACGGACATGCAAATGCCGATATTTACAAAAAACAGCTTTCAAATTATATAATAAACATAAAATGTAAATTTAATATAGTTTTTGATTATAAAATATTCAAAACTTAACGAATGATTAAAATCAAAATGTTTAATTGCGTTATAACGCAAACACAGGAAACACAGGAAGAAATATAAAAAAAAATATGTGGCGCCAATACGCTTCCTTAGAGTTGTTGGGTAAACATCAATTAAAACAACCCGAAAACTAAAAAAAGCCAAGAAATTTAGAGCGGAACGTACAGTCTGTAACAATATATAGGTATTTATCAATAAAACAAGACATAAATTGTCCAAATAGATATAGGAAAATGTGGTATGAGTGCCAATGAGACAACTCTCCATCCAAGTTACAATTTATAAAAGTAAACCATTATAGGTCAAGGTACGTCCTTCAACACGGAGCATTGGCTCACACCGAACAGCAAGCTATAAAGGGCCCCAAAAAATTACTAGTGTAAAACCATTCAAACGGAAAAACCAACGGTCTAATCTATATAAAAACGAGAAACGAGAAACACGTATGAACTACATAAACAGACGACAACTACTGTAATCAGATTCCTGACTTAGGACAGGTGCAAACATTTGAAGCGGGATTAAACGTTTTAATTGTACCAATCCTTCTCCCTTTTCTGAAACAATAGTATAACATCACAACATAGAAAAACACACTATAAAATATCAATTGGAACTTCCGAAGGCTTAACTCAATCAAAAAACGTAAATTTACACACAAAGTCCATAAAGGTTGGGAATAAATTGAACAAAAACTGTCAAAGATATACAATCTACATTGAATTATCAAAAAAACTAAATCATAAAGATATAGATGTTGTGTAGTTAAACTACTGTTCCAAGATCTCAACCAAACATTTTTAAATCTCGATCTTAAAATACCATTTGTACATATAAAGTATATAGATAAATTTCTTATCTAAGTATTAGGACTATCACCTGGTAAAGTTTGAACTATAGGTCACGTCATTGTATTCTATAATATATGTAAGCATTCAGCATGGTAGTTATAAAAACGTTTTTATTATTCAGTTTAGCACAACTTGTTTCAGGAATTATAGATACTAAAATAAATACAAGCGTTGGATTAATACATGGTTTTTACGAGCAAGCAAATTTTAATGGTAATCACAAAGCTGTATTAAAGTTTCTAGGAATTCCTTATGCAATTCCTCCTGTTGGTAACTTACGTTTTAGGAAACCAAGACCAGCTCCACGCTTTAAAACGTTCAATGCTACAGAGTTTGGACCTGGATGTTTACAAAATAAATTTCTTATGTCGCTGTGGTTACCTGGCCGAGATTTGCTTTCTGAGGACTGCTTAACATTAAATATATTTGTTCCCATTCATAGCTGGGCTAGAAAATACCCCGTGATGATATGGATTCATGGAGGAGCCTATCAGATTGGACAATCTAGTATCTATTCTGGAGAAAATTTAGTCAATTACGGTGACGTTATCGTGGTAAGTAATTCAATAAATCCTCGACTTTTTCTTGAATAACTGGAAAAACAACAAAAAGAAAACAAAATCGCAAGATGTAAAGGTCTTCGATAACCGAACAAAACATGGTATTGGCAAAATAAGAAAGATCTTTCGTTTTAAAGTAACATTTGTACGCGTTCTGTCAAATGCAAGCGATTTCAAAAATATTTTATAAAACGTATTTAAGGGACATCACAGAAGTATTGAAAATGTGACTCAAGCTTTTGCAGATCATTATGAATACAGAGATCTGGGTTATACTTCAATGAGACAGGCTAATCGAAATTAACATCTATGGTCACCATATATGAATGTCATATAGTGACCTCTTCGTCTTATTTTTTGTTTACAAATGAAGTCTTGTTGCTACCTGACTCACATCTCCGTGTTTCCTTTTTCAAAAATGCAAATCGTTTCCCGCCAATAGGAGTAGTACCAGAAGTCCAAATGATCTAGCAAAATGGGCTTCTTGTATTATACATAACTACATATGCTAGATTCTGAAACGTGAAGCATTACTACACAAAATCTACAGTCCCATAACACATGTAAGTATGGTCAAATCAAATGTGATGTGGTCAACTACACATGATTGCGAACAATCATGCCAAGTAGGATAGGTTTCAATAAAACGGACTCAGAGGAGTTGCGTTCGCAAGGTGTAATATATACAATAATAAAAAAAAGGTCAAAGTCACAGAACTCCCGTTAAAATTGTCAAACTAAACTGACGATATAGCACGGTCAAGAGAATATGAAGACAAATAATCCTACCAAGTATGACATATGGCAAGCCGTTTTACTATTTATTCTCACTTCAAGATATCTCATATAATATATTAGATATCTCATATAATATATTAGATATCTCATATAATATATAAGATATCTCATATAATATATAAGATATCTCATATAACATATAAGATATCTTATATAATATAGTTTTTATAAGATATCTTACAAACTTCATAAGATATCTTATATACTTTATAAGATATCTCATATAATTTTTCAGATATCTTACCAAGAAAATTACATGAGATATCTTATAAATTATATGAGATATCTTATAAACTATATAAGATATCTTATAAACTATATAAGATATCTTTTTAACTATATAAGATATTTCATATAATATATAAGATATCTCAAATAATATATAAGATATCTCATATAATAAAGTTTATTAGACATCTTGAAGTTAGAATAAATAGTAAAACGGCTTGCCATAATGACAGTTTTATGTCAAACGATCTTTGAGAATTGATGTGTTTTGATTGGACGGACGGACGGTGACCATTACCATATCTTCTGCGGGACAATATCAAAATTTCTGGCATATAATAATAAAAATAAAATGGTATTTGTTATTATTAACAAACACACTCACACACACACACACACTTCTAGACTTTCTGCTCTTGTGTTTCAAATAATTTGTTTCAGGTAACTATAAATTACCGGCTTGGCCCATTCGGATTTTTAGCTACGAAAGACCCTGACTCGATGGGAAATTTAGGATTATGGGATCAACAACTAGCCATTAAATGGGTACACGAGAATATCGATTTCTTCGGCGGTGATTCCAATAGAATAACTTTGTTTGGGGAATCCGCTGGAGGCGGAAGTACCGTTTATCAAGCAATGTATCCTGGGAACAAGGGTCTATTCTCACGAACAATATCCGAGAGTGGAGTTGCTATGTCGGCATGGGGTTATAATACACGTGACAAGATGCTTGACTTCACAAAAAGGATGGCAATAAACTTAAAATGTCCTACAACTAACGATCGTGACATGCTAGCATGCATGCGAAACGTTCCGGCTCAGGACATAGTGGATAAATCCAGAGTGGGGACAGAATCCGAGAATCTATTTCGACCAGAGTTTGTTCCTGCTCCTGATGGTGAATTTATTTCACAATACGCTCCTGATATTTTTACGAAACCCTGTTTGATCAATGAACAAACCGGAAGTGTTTTCGACAATATTGACATGGCATTCGTTGCACTGACCGGTGACGGAACTGCCGTTACTGGTTCAACGATGTTGCCATATGTTAAAAAGCACATGTCGAAGACTATGTCGGCCGATGACGTCATCGAGAAATTTGTTATTCCGTATATTCTATCGGATAGATTCAATGTTACCTCCCCTGAACTTGCTAAAATAATGAATTTCGTGTACAGTGACTGGAACAAAACATTAGGAAAAAATTCATATCAAACAAAACTTTTAAATTTGGATACAGATTACAGCTTTTTCATACCAATAATTAACACTGCTATTGCACATGCTCAGAGAGAAAAGGGGAAGAAGACATATTTGTTAGGGTTGGCAAAACACTCCTCTTTCACTCTACCATTAGAGTATAAACCACCTAACCTTCATGCAGATGAAATTCCGTACTTCTTTGGTTTTCCTGATAGTATGATGAAGCCTTTCGCAATGTCAAGGACGAATATTACAGCTGAAGAAATACAACTGTCTAAAAAACTCATGAAATATATTACGAATTTTGCATACACTGGGTAAGTATTTGTAACTTAAACACAGAGAACTTTAAGTTCTAAAAAAAATATCAGAAAAATTTTGTCTGTATTTACTTCCGAGTATGCAATCCCTCTACCGTTTGATCCATGTGCATACGATTGTCACGAAAACTTTATCGATCGATTACCTACTACCGCTCTAAACCATTTCAAATTACAACTACATTTTGTATAATGATATTCCTGCACACAACACGGTTTCTGGAACATTTTTTATCAGGTACATTTAACATGTACGCCTAAGGTTAAAAGCACAACCATAAAATAATTTCGAACTCACAATCAAATGTGTATTGGTGTTAAATTAGGAGTACAAATCCAAATATGATTATTTTTCTAACGATCTTAGCCCAGGATAGTTTCCTTATAAAGATAGTTATAGTTACGAATGTGCATCGTTATCTGCAGTCCACTATGATTTTAACGCTCATCTTTTATAAAACATATTCGTTTGACAAAAATGAAAACAACACGTTATAAATTTCATGACACGTCCGAAGCGCTTTTCTAGATTTACCTTCATCAGGAACGCTCAAAGCCGAAAATTTAAAAGCCAATTTTGTAGAAGAACCGAAACAGTTGAAGAGCTATATAACCAAAAATGACCTTAAAAAAAGCTAAATCCATCTAAGGTTAACTTTGCCTAAAGGAGTTGAAACCTTCGTTCGAGGTGCAGTCTGTTTTTAATACTATATATTCCTTCGTCGATGTGTCTTGACGGCTTCTATCATTTAACTGCCATAAACGTATTCGTCAGGACAGTAGTACATACTGTAGTAAATACTGAAGATTGCTTTTTTATTGCTGAAGGCACACATACTATGTCTCTATTTTACAAAATTATTGTTATCATAACATAAAACACAAAACAACAGAGTTTTTCATTTGATAGTGTCAAATGCATTTGAAACTCCTATCATGAAACAAATCTTCTTAAGGAACCTTCAATCAAATCAAATGATAATTAAAACAAAGTGCTGACATGACATTGTGAAAAAAAGTTCTATGCGATGAAGATATTACAGAAAAGTTGAAAACATATAGTTTTATATTTCAGTGATCCTAATCTCCCATTATCACCAGATGTGAAGTGGTTACCTTACGACGTCGAAAATGAACACTATCTACGTGTTGGTGAAACCATTAAAACCGGTTCACACATATTCCCTATGAGGACTGCTTTCTGGACAAAATACATACCGGAGTACCTTAACATGACAACAACTTGTACTGTGAGTCATGGAATGTTGCCTAATATTGGATCTTCAAACGTAATTGGTTAACAAACAGACCGGCTCCAAAAATTCAAGAATAATTATAGTAGTCTTTATTTATCAATACCGTTTTGGCTTGACAAAAACATTAAATGTTTAACACAGATGTGATACATTCTTACCGGAATAAAATGAAAGATTTTATATAAATTAATTTTAGTAAAATTATTCAATTGTTCATGATGATGTAGCCATCTCAATTTGAAAGCATCGTCGGTGGTTTTCGATGTTCATTTGTCCCGTTTACCATTCGGAACTTGACCAATTGTTGTTGATGTTTTTTTTTATTGCGTTGTTTGGATAATGTCACAATGGGATGGTTAATCTATTCATCTCTCATAACATAAAACATTCATTATGCATAATAGTTTAACCTGCCTGTAAAATTATCTAACAGTTCTTTGTATTTTCCATCCAGTAATTTTAAAAACATTCTGAGTATTTGATACAAACAATAACTTAATATATCCATACCTGATTGCTAAAAAACATATATAAATTTCAGTAAATAAGTAGTTGTCGAAACCGTTCAATCAAATGCTTTAAGAGCCTCCATTTGCAACTGCTTTATAAGAAAAAAAGATCTTTAAATCTGCTCGCAAGCGCCTTTATTAAAGGGGTAGACCTAGGGTATTGGGGATAACTCTTACAAATGTTTTTATTTTGGTATATCAGGTGTACTATCTGATATATCAGGCGAGTTGTATAAAAATATTTGCCTCAGTTAACAAAACACAAACTAGCAGCTCACAACTAAACTGAAAGTTTATAAAAAGAAAATAGGCAAAGTTGATTTTAGATGAATTTGATTTTTTTTAATGTCCATGTTGGTCATTTACCTCCTAACGTTTCTACGTACTTATACATCCCTGGTTTTCAATAAGGAATTAAATGCTTTTTTTTGTAAATTTACTGGGGTGTAAAAGCGTTGACCGAAAGCGAAAGCGCTTCATTCTAAACATGTGCGCACGGTCAACGCTTTTACAACCCTATACAATTACTAAAAGAAGTATTCAATACTTATAATTACATTTTTTTGCTAGGATCATGAAAACACGATTTTTATCAAGTTTTTCTTTTGTTTACCTGTGCACTTTATTGTGGAATCTCGTGTCATCATGAATGTTACATTTCATGTTGAAATGAAGATTAATTTCAGAATGACGCGAGATTGCTGTTAGCCAATCAAAATAACGTATTATAATGAAATATACATGTAATGTAATTATGTGTTTAAGTTTGAGCATTTCTGCTGAAAGTAAATTTACAAAATCTCTTCTAACGCACAAAATGCATGAAGTGTTATTTTCATTTTGTGCGCTAGCATTCATTTGCACAATATGGGAAAAAATGAAAATAATGCACAAAACAATGGAATTGAAAAGAAGAGATAAGAAAAATATATGATACATTGATTTGGGACACATCGTACATGCACATAATAAACTTAAGGAAAACAAGGAATGAACGCTTTTTTTTTGTTGTTCTTCTTCTTAAAGTCGCAGAGTGTCCTTCATCCCGCAGGAAAAGTTTACATAGAAATTATCTGTGACGTTTTTAAGATCATTCAGTATACTCACAGCTTACAGCATCTTGCAATATTTACTTTTATGACAATGTAGATATACAGTGAGCATAATTCACAAATTCATACTCTTGCTCCTCCATCTGTATAAATCTGGCTACGTCTGTTTGCTATCAGAAAACGCAATTTAATTCAGATCAAACAATAAGAAATGCACTATGTCGTTATACCTTATAATAAAAATAAACATGTTTTTAAATTCAAATTGCCAAAGAAAACTTTATACAGGAGAACGATACCATAGGGGAGAAAACTCTTATAATCGAACAGAGACTGACAAAATCATGGTATAAAACAAAACAAAAAAGACACAAAGTCAAATAACAGTCCGAAAAAACTACATAAACAAACTAAAGACTGAGTGACAATAACTCCACCATAAAGCCGGGGCCGGTTTATCGCAGGTGCTTCGGAACGGAACACACATCTTGGTCTACATTTGGCACCAGTCGTGTTGCTCATGGTAAGTACACCTTCGGTGTTAAGTCCAATTCTGTGGTGTCACAGTCAGAGAAAAGAGGACGGGAGTGTGACTACGATAATTGTCACATATTCGTGGTCATCTGTGACACAGATATTTCATAACGGTCAACCAACTCATATTGAGGTCTAAGGTGTTAAACGTTCAGTTGAAAATCTAATAGTACATGTATTACCAATAAGGACGGAAGCATATTAATGTCATATGAATATACCCTGCTTTGTGCTAGACTAGTCCGAGATTGTTAATATGTCTGTTGGCTATTTTATGGGATTTCCTGGTGCCGTGTGACGTCAGAGCTTTCCCCTTAGTGCAAACATACAGATGACATGTAAAGCTCTTGTTTATGTTACGGTGCGTTAGTAATTGAATAATAGATACATTTTCTAGGAGTAAAATGTATAAGGCATCGAAAGATTGATCTACTAGTATTTGAAAATAATTATTTACCCGCCACAATTCCGAGTCGATTTTTTTTTTTTTTACGACTCCGACGACCAACGTCCCCAGCTAGTCCTAAAAAGGCAGTAGGACATCAGAGCAATCTCATACCATACAACATCCTGAGTCGAAATTTAAGTTTATATAGCTAGGTTAAAGTACATATCCAAACCATGTACCCCCTCCCTACACACGCACACACTCCAACTCAGCACGATGCTACAACAACATGCAAAACGTTTTATATAACTAGTTTATTTATCAGTAAAAATAAAATATTCTTAAAAATTGACATAAAATAAGTATTGCAGGTATTAATAGTTCATATACAATGATAGAATTAGATATTATTTTTATCACAGATGCATATTTTGTACATGTATCACATCAACGCTTATAACTAAATGTTTAAGGAGTAAACAAAACCTAACTTCAGTGGAGTTCTGCTGGATTCTAACACACATAACATTTGTCCTGGTAACAAATTTACATCAAAGTAAACAATAAAAGGCATGTCCGACTGTATATGGTATAAATACATTAGTCTCAAACAAAGAATTTGATATAAATAAAGGTCTTTGGGGGTAAAAGGTAAACCACAAAAAAAAGTGAAATGATCTCCATAGCATCGAAAGTTTTGCTCATGTCTTTAAACTCAAAAGGTTTCCAGTGCTGCATGAATCGACAAACATAATATTTTGCAGTTTAATCTGAGAAAGATTATCCCAGGACCGAAAAAAAAATCGGCAAAGTTAAATCGTAAACACGTTGATATGGTTCCAACAAGAATTTGTATGTTTACATGTTATGGAACGACTGAATGCTGTTTCTGGTAATGAGAACGAAAATGAACACATTTTGAACTGCAATGTCTATATTACTTTGCTTTCTCCGTTTCAGTCCAAATCTTCACAAATTCTGAAAAGAAATATATGCTGTATAAAGTTAAATTGCACTACACTGTTTTGTTTTGACCAACCACCGCAAACTATATTTAAATTTTAGATTAACAATTTTACTCGTTCAAAATATGGATATGATGCTTTCCATAACTGCAAAATAATGCGAACTCTATCAACGTCTTCTCCAAAATCTAGCTATAGATATTATTCATACCCTCCGTTTGATAGTGTACAGATAAAGTGGATAAAGTTCTTTAAACAAATCTCAACAGTAAATTACGACATGCATGGTTCCAAGAAAAGTAATGTGTTATCATTAAGGGACTTATCATTTTTTTTATCTTGGATGGAAGGGGAGGGGGGTGCTGGTCAAAATGTAGGGGGATCAAGTTTTTTTCTGTAAGTGGAAAAAGGGGGTTCAAATTTAATTTTTTTTATAAATTCAAAGCTTCAAAGTGGGGGGATCAATTTAATCTCTAATGAAACATTTGTGAACTTTTGAATCTTCAAGTATATCCTACATATCATGTGTGTCAAAGGTAAGTGTTTTGCATGTGAAATTTTGGCATGTTTAATAAAGGGGGATAAGGTAAAAATTGTGAAATATTATGGGGGGGGGGGGTCAAGAAAATTCATGTTTGATTTCAAAATGACCAGCCCCCCCCCCCCCCCCCCCCCCTGTTAAGTCCCTAACGTATTTTGACCGACGTAGCAAGGTTGTGTCATTGGTGGAGCAGGAAATGTTGATCCATTCGGAACAACCGCATTCGTTCGGAACACCCGCATTTACAACCTTTTATTCATTCAGGTGAATCTTAGTTCCACTACTTTAGTACTTTTGTAGTTTTTGTGTTCTCGGTCTGTTGTTTTTTCTTTTCGTCGCATTTTTCGGCAACGTTGTCTGTTTTTCTTCGAATTGTGTTTTATTTTACCCCTTTGCATGTTGTTTCTGTTTGAATTTAACCACGTGTTATAAGAGACATTCATCTGGTGCAGAAAAACTGGTATCGTTAATGTTATTATACCTTAGTTTATATCTCCTTTAATTCATACTAACCGTTATAATCTATTTTACCATCTCCATTTGCATCAGCATCTCGCATCATTTCTCCTAGCTCCTTGTCTGTAAGGGCTTCGCCTAATTTTGTCATTGCAACTTTTAATTCTTTACCATCTATATAGCCATTACCGTCTCTGTCGAATACTTTAAATGCTGCTCTTATCGATTCCTCTTGTGTCATTACTTCCGGGTTTTCCTTTAAATAGTTTTTCAAAAATTTGCGGAATTCATCCTTTTGTATTTTGTTATCGTCTGCAAAGGAAAAATACCATTTGAGTAACTGAATTACATTGCAACATTGGAATCAATTTCTCTAAGTGATCTAGCTGTTCTCTGTCTCTACTATGTGTGATTTTTATGGTTACTTGAGTACGCAGGTTAGAGATCACCCCCAGTTATTTGTGGGGTTCGTGTTGCTCAGCCTTTGGTTTTCTATGTTGTGTTTTGTGTACTATTGTTTGTCTGTTTGTCTGTTGGTCTTTTATTCTTTTTTAACCATAGCGTTGTCAGTTTATTTTCGACTTATGAGTTTGAATGTCTCTTTGATATCTTTCGCTTTTCTTTAAAGTGATATATTAGTTTAAAATATTGAAATATTTTAAGGTTTTCACGCTCTTCGTTGTCTACTCAAAGGCTTACACCTTGCATGTGGTATATATTTTTCTTTTTCTTTTATCAAAAGTATAGTATGCAATAAGTTTTTAAATTACGATTTTTTCGTATCGTTTTATATAAAGGTTAATAGGATTTCTTGCACTCAACAGACTTTTCTTAGCCTGTTGTTAAAGTTAAATCGAAGACACAATAAGATAACATCTTGTTCAATCACGTGGTTGATATTGGCGGCATGAAAACAAAACTTTTTTTAAATTTCGTGCGTCGGATGAGGTTTAACACCCTATTTAAAAAATATTCAGACATAAAGATGAAATCGAACTGATGAGAAAAAAAATCAATATCTGACAAGCGTGCATGGATATGAAATCTACGATATTGCATTCAATAGTCTACAAAATGGCGGCAATGTCTGAAAAAGTTGGTTCAAGACCAGATAAAACCAATCATCCTCTAAAACTAAAACTTTTTAAAACAATAAACATTTCATTTTTATTGAATTGGATACGTGGTAAGTTTTTGATGAATGTTATAACAGTGTACATAAGCAAAATCCCGCACAAATTACGCATCCAAATATATGACATTAGGGATATACGTCAAAGAGACAGTAACTCGATGATATCGATAATCAAAAGACATCCAGAAGTCAACGTATAGTCTTGATTTCCATATGATGAAGACATAATTTTTCGATCAGTTTAAGGGAGCTACCATTTGATTTTTATGGGGGGGCTAGGATGAAAAATTTTGTCCTGCCTTTTTATTTTTCCCTCTATTCGGTCCTGCCTTTTTATTTTTCACTCTATTCGGTCCTGCCTTTTTTTTTTAGTTTATCCTGACTTTTTTTTTACATAAATTGTCATCCTGCCTTTTTTTTTGCAAATAATCTCATCCTGCCTTTTTTTTTACTCAAAACTCCTGTCCTGCCTATTTTTTTCAAATTTCATCCTAGCCCCCCCCCCCCATAAAAATCAAATGGTAGCTCCCTAATTGAGGTCTGGAGCTGGCATGTCAGAAACTGCTAGTAGTCCTTTGTTAATTTATGCATCATTGTTATTTTCTTTGTTTCTTTTGTTACCTATTCTGACATCGGACTCGGACTTCGTTTAAACTGAGTTTTACTGTGCGTATTGCTGTGTGTTTGTTTTTCTACATTGGCTAGAGGTATAGGGGGAGGGTTGAGATCTCACAAAACATGTTTCTTATATCTATTTACCCCGCCGCATTTTTGCGCCTGTCCCAAGTCAGGAGCCTCTGGCCTTTGTGAGTCTTGTATGATTTTTAATTTTAGTTCATTTATATTTTTTGGAGTTTATTATGACGTCCATTATCACTGAACTAGTACACATTTTTGTTTAGGGGTCAGCTGAAGCACGCCTCCGGGTGCGGGATTTTCTCGCTGTGTTGAAGACCCATTGGTGGCCTTCGGCTGTTTTCTGCTCTTCGGTCGGGTTGTTGTCTCTTTGACACATTTCCCATTTCCATTCTCAATTTTATTGAACAAGACAGGTGTTTGTCTATATACATTTAATATTATGCCACATATGTTCAGCTGGTCATTTTTAACATTCTTACAGAGAGCTCAGGTTTTTGTGTGTGTCATTTTATTGTTGGTGTTAACACACAGTTATAATGTTTGTGTCATCTTATTGGTTGTGTTAACGCACAGTTTAACTTTGAACTTACTATTGACATCAAGTAACTTCATTGTCTCTGTAATTTCCTTTTTAGTTGGATTTAAATTTAAAAATCTCATAGCAGCTCCTAATTCTGAAGCTGTTATACTTTTGTCACCATTTTTATCAAATACTTTGAAAAGCTCGTCAATTTCTGAAATTAAAAAAAACAAAAAATCATAAAATGTTCTATAAATCATACGCAGAACCATTTGTGATTGGACAAAGCTTTACAAAAATTTATTGCTGACCCTTTTTCTATCATTTAATTGTCTCTCCCTTTCATCTGTATTGTTAACACATTATTCTCTACTCTGTAAACCCCATCCAGGCCCTCATAATTTTAGTCACATACAGAAAAACTAAGAGAGTAACATACCTTTGTCTAAATCTGTTGTTTTACGACTCTGAAATAGAAAAAATAGGCTACAAATCTAATAAAAATACATCTGCATGTATAAACAAGGTTAAAAGCATTCAGCAAATTGATTGTCCCCCTGTTTTTAGTTAGGTTGGTATTGTTAAATCGTTAGTTTTCCGTGCAGTTTATGTAGCTTGTTAACAGATACGTACTTTTTTTCATGCATATATAAAATTTGCTTATATGTCTTTGATATTGATTAGCAGTGATAAGTTAATGTATAACGTACATTTGCACACTTTGCTCATTGTTAAAGGTGACCTACAGTTGTGTGCATGATGTCCGTTTTGAAATCTGAGATCAACATATAAATGTACTAGTCCCAGTTGACACATATTTATTCCTTAACCTGTTATTTCATATATACATTTTTTTTAATGAATAGTTTTAGATGTAAATCATTTTTAGCCGTATTATCATGTCCAATTACAATTCACATAAAAAGCAAAGACCATCGCTGGCTATTTACAAAATAATTCTTAAACCAGATCATACGATTAACAATTATCGTTATTCTTATGTTCGATGAATTGCAATTGTATCCTAATTTTTATGTCAATTGAAGTAAGAACGGATTATAACAAGTAAAGTGTCAAATTCACAATTATGTATCCGAACACTTCAAATCAAATGATATCATAATTCTGATGTCACATGATATGAAATACGATTATGATGATAATTTTTATGTCAGATATGATTTAATAAAAAGGGATTATGACAAGTAAGGTGTCAAAATTCACTAATGAATCCGAACACTTCAAATCAGATCATATGAATAACTATTATCATAATTATGATGTCACATGATTTAAAATACGATTATGATAATTCTTATGTCAGATGATTTGAATTACGATTATGATAATTCTTATGTCAGATGAATTTTTTTAAAAAGGATTATGACAAGTAAAGTGTCGAAATTCACAATTATTCTAATGAATCCCAACACTTCAAAAATTATAATGCGATTGTAATCATTTTTACTTATACTTGTCATAATCCGTAATAAAACACGACTTGTCCTGAGTTTGAATATGAGTGGTCAAATAAATTTTATGGAAATTTGATGTACAGTATCGTTTTTATTTTTTTAATCTATATCTAATAAATACATTACATCAGTGATGTACAAAGGTTCTAAAAAGTAAGAAGATATATATAGGAAGGCCTAGACAGGGTTTACAGAATAGAGAATAATGGCCAAAGAGAACAGAAATGTAGGCAAAAAAATAATGAATGGAGTAAAATAGGCCAAAAAAAATTAAAACTGGAGTAAAATAGGCCATAAAATAAAGACTGGAGTAAAAAAGACTAAAAAAGAAAAACTGGAGTAAAATAGGCCAAAAAATGAAGAACAGAGAAAAATTTGAGTTACAAAAAAATAACGAACAGAGAAAAATTGAGTTACAAAAAATAAAGAACAAAGAACAAAATTGAGATATAAAAATAATGAAAAGAGAATTATGGCCAAAATAAATGAAGAATACAAAAAAAATGAAGAAGAAAAAAATGAAGAAGAATACGTAAATGAAGACACCCCCTCCATCTAGACCCGAATGTAGCAAGGGGCAATCAAAAACCACAGACAACACAATGACCAACCTTCTCTGCAAAAAATAGGTCAATGTGGATGAAAACTTAAAGAAATATTGAAATCAACGTGCAATGTTAGGGATTTAACCGAGCCGACCACCAGACCAAATAAAACTTCTAAAACAAAACAAATACAAACACGCCTAATTAACAAGTATAAATCTTGAATAACCGCTTAGACGTCACTGCATACGTTTTTATTTTTTGGTTTATATTTATTTTTAATTCATTAATTGGGTTTGAACTTGTAAAATCGATAATCCAGTTTCGTAACCTTTATCTTTTCCTTTTATGGTTTTAAATCTTATGTTATATGTTTCTTATGTGTAAATAATCGTTTGAAGTAATTCTATATACCAATGGCCTGTTACATATTTGTAATTGTGTTTGAACAATGCGTTTTGTACTTGTTTATAAAAGGTGAGACGTTAATAAAGTATTTAAGTGCATTGTAAATAATCCCAACATAAACAATATCAATAACAAAACATATGAGTATTTTTGTATGATCTGCTAATATTACGAAATGTGTAAATCACATTAACTTATTACGTCATAATTCCCGTAACAGATCATATCAAATACGATTTTCACGCAATAGACTGTAAAAATGGACAACTATCAAATAAATCGGATCAGCGGGTAATGTCAATTGCAATTAGGATTATTACATCATATTACATATAGCCCAGTAAAGAAAGGTATTCTGAATTTTTTTACCCTACAGATTTTTAATGTACATGCACAGATATGTTCAAAAGGAGGCTGTTTTAGAATATCGAGATATATACATGAATACCAGTATAATTTTAAATACTTCCTTTTAAATTAGACAATTAAATACAAACTTTTTTCTAGTGAAATTTTCTTGATTCTCTCGATACTAACAATAGCCTTACTCTCCACCCCCCCCCCCCCCCCTAGCTTTTCCCGCAACTTGATTTCTTGTCAAAATTCAAAAAACTTGACATATATGGATTGTGTGTTTTTTTTTATTCTAAGAATTTTATATTGTTAGCATATATTTGGAAGTGATTAAAATTAGTATTCACAATGACTTGACTAAACACGAGACGCCTTAAATCTTTACATTTATAATATAAACACTAGTTATCTTTCCTTAATTTATTCATTTTGTTTGTTAATTGAGTGTTTCATTGACGTTTAACCATCTCTCCCCCCTTCCCCTTTTTCTTGTATCAAATGTTTAACACAATGCCACGTCCGGGCTTTGCATAATTTGGAAGACACCACCATACCAATTTGAGCATTCCATTAACAATTAAACTTCTTTTACTAATCTTTGGAAACCATTTCAATGTAATAATGTTATATAATCAATGGACAAAGTAGGAAATTTCACAAACCATTTCATATATACAAAACAGTTATCAACCTCGAAGTATTGACTTTTAAATATCAAAAACAACCGCGATAGTGTGTTGCAGAATTGTGAAGGTCTGGAAGGGGGATCTTCATTTCTGTATTATTTTTTATTTTTATGCCATTTTTCACCTAATTCTTTGATTTTTGGGCCTTTTTTCTCTATATGATTATTTTTTTGCCTGATTTTCTCTATTCTTTAAAAAACATTTTTCTCTTGTTTGACCCCATTATTCTCTATTCTGCTAACCCCATCCAGACCCGCAATTATAGGAATCCAATAGTTTGTATTTCGGTTTTAATATCGCTAAAATGTAAATGTTTTGACTGAATACAGAAAATGTATAACCCAGCTAATAGCTTTTTATTTTATCAAAAGTTTACTAATAAAACATTCTTCTATATCCCCTTAAATGCATTAAAGAACGCAGTGGAAATTAATTATACAAAACTGTTTACAATCACCGTACATTTTTAAGTTATAACATGAACATGAATATCATTGAGCTGAAATCTTGATTCATTGAACACTATAGAGCTGAACCTTAAATACAACTATTGCAACATTTCAATTGGTTGTAAAGAAAATTTAAACAAAGAGTTCTCTTTCTTTTGGAAGTAAGATTCCCGAGCTAGAATTTTATAAGAGTTTCTGTCGTAGAGGCTGACGACTTGTTTCACAAAAATGCACGAGGGGTGCGTAAAAATGGTCGGTTTTATGATGAAATTTTAAATTCTAGGAAGAATTCAAAAATGTTGAATAGAAGTATTCGTATATTCGCCCCCTTCCCAAACGTAAATACGTAATGGTAAAAAGTATGTAAATATATATTGCTTAACTTCCTCTTGTTCAATATTGACCCCCGGGCAGAAATAATCAAACGTGACAAACAGCGATCCATGAAATTTCATTTTTTTATAATGTTTCTAATTATTTTGTACATGAAATTGATTGCAGTTTTCAATAATTCATGCTATTTCTATTTAAACTTCATTGTTTCTTTTTATATCTGCATGGCTCGTTACATTTTCATCAAAGCACTCATGAATAAACCCAGAAAAATCAATCAATGTATGTTTGTACAATTTTGTAGGCATTTTGTATTATGTTCCTGTCCATTTGTAAGTAATTGTTTCCTTATACTTCAGATAAAATTCCAAAGTATTGAATTTCGATATATTTGAGCAAATACAAATACGCGTTTAAATACAAAGTTTTGTTAGCAAAAAGACCACAGACATCAACAAATTGTATACTAGTACCTGAATGTAAGTGATGCTAGTTAAACAAAAACCTGAGGTTGAATTCCACTCAAGTCATGTTCAATATTATTAAATACCTATTTTTCACCCTTATCGGTTGTACAGTATAGCGCTCATGTTTCTATACATTAGTAAATTCCAAAACTTAAAACAAGAAACTTTGAGTATTCCATATATATAAAAATAAGGAAATGCGGTATGATTGCCAATGAGATAACTATCCACCAAAGTTCAAATAAAGTGGAAGTAAGCAATTATAGGCAACCATACGGCCTTCAATAATGAGAAAAACTCATACCGTATGGTCGGCTATAAAAGGCCCCGATATGAAAAATATTAAACAATTCAATAAAGAAAACTAACGGCCTAATTTATAACAAAACAATTAACGAAAAACAAATATGACAGGCATGAACCAACGACAACCACTGAACTACAGGCTCCTGACTTGGGACAGGCACATACAGAATGTGGCGGGGTTAAACAAGTTTGTGAGCGCTCAACCCCGACCTAACCTGTGACAGTGGTGTTACAGCACAACATAAGAACAAACTATAAAAATCAGTTGAAAAAAGCTTAACTCATCAGATCGATACAAAGCAGAAAAACCAATAAACATACATAAACAAAGACCAGACGTGGCATGACATATGAACAGTATATTAAGAAAAAATAGCAAACACATCAGTTATCTGAATAATGCATGATGATAAAGTGTTATTCTGATAAAAATGTTTCCTTAAT